CCTGCGCTGCCTTGGCCCGGGAAGGGGCATCGCCTGTTGCACGGCTCCGGGGAAAGGGCTTTCGTTAGCCGTTACCGGAGTGACGCGAAGGGCAAGGTCGCTGTAAAAGCGGTGCAAAATAGCCCAGATCCACTGTATTTTTTCCCACAAGGAACAACGGCAAAGGCTGCAAACAGGCTCATCCGAGGTTCCCACCGGTTTCTTTCCAGTTCGCGTCCGCTGCTCTGGCGTGTCCGATCTGTTCCGTGCGGGCCGGCTGCCTTCCTCGCTGTGTCACTCACACTTAATACAGGAGTAAAATAAGTGTTGCCCTGTTTTCTTTTATAAACTAATTAGGTTTCAAACGATTGTGTCTTTGTATTGTCCTGTAAAAACACGAATGCATCTGCCTGCCTTAGAAATACTGCAACAGAAATGCTTTGGAAATAATACAAATGCTTGGACGTCCTTTCACACCCCGGTTTCCAGGTCTGTTTGCATGGCAGGCAGCAAGTGGGTGTTTGCAAAAATTATTGCAGTTATCTTTAAAAAAAACAAACCTCAAACCAACCAAAAAAACAAACCAAAAAACCAAAATTTAAAAACATCCAAACTCTTTTTTGTAAAACTTTAGAGGAGATGATCACCTGGAAGGCGGCTGTTGCCCAGAGGCATTGCCTTTAATTTTCAGCAGCACTTTTTTGGAGCAGGAGGTTTGGGTTTGGGGAGAGGGCAGCAGCCAGCGCCTGCAGCCTGACTGCCCCGCATGGAGAGTGACACCGGCCAGCCCCAGCCCCTAACAAACATCTGCATACCTACAGGAGATCCTGTGTTTCTGCACAGGGGATTTTGCGAGGCCGTTGCCGTATGTATTTGATGAGAAATCTGCCAGTGAAGAAATCAATTCAGAAGGAAATCTCACATTTCCACAGCTCATATTTTGTTGGTTGTTTTTTTTTTCTCTAGGCCCAGGATTTAGTCTGATGTAGATGTGAAGCTCCTAAAACAGAAACTTCTACTTCAAGAGGTGCCCAAGGAGATGAGGTTTTTAGGTACGTGCATTTCTATGTACTGTATGTCATGCAAAGTCGTTCTAGTTCTAGATCTGGCTATACACCAACACAGCAAAATCAAAACTGTGTGTAAACCAGGCTCAGTCCTGTGCCTCAGTAGATGAGCAGGTATTTATACTGACCCAGCCTGTCTGTATCCTTGGGTAATTTGGACTTTTCCAATAATCAGGGAAGACTTATTTGTTTCAATGGGATTTCGATGGGATGGCAAATGAGAAATCCTGCTGATAAACCTGAAACGATAGACTCTTCAGCCGTATTTCATGATTGAATTGACTCTGCCGTGGCAATAGAGATTATTTTTTTCTTGCCAGTAAAATGCATCCAGATCTGACTGTGACTTAACACAGAGAGAAAACACCAAGAAAACAAGCACACGGGACCTTTTTTTATTGTAAGTTAAAGGGAATATCTAATTGAAGGACCAATTTTCAGCCCTCACTCAAGACAACCTCATGTAGACTTAATGTGAGTTTTATTTTATGTAGGTCATAATTATCACAATAAAAAAGAATAATGAGATTTTTTTCCCCCCTTTGGTTTACAGTTATAACACACACAGTATTTCACAAATAATTTCAGTCTAAATTGTACTACTATTTAAGAGAACACCATCAAAGGAGAACCTGGTAAAACTCAGAGTCAGATTAAGAGCAAAGTAATCACAATAAAATACCTAAAATAATAATGTATTCTAATTACCATCAGATTAGAGCATTGCAAAAAGGATTGCTTAGAAACCTTTCCTCTTCTCTGCTATAAATCTTTTATGTGGTTCATTGTCTTGGGTTTTTTGCCATTACCAATGGGAAATTGGTAATTACAATTACACAGGGACAGCTGCAATTACACAGGGACATCAGTGAGACTTCAGCGTGTGGATGAGATGCTTTGCAAAATCAAGGCCAAAGTTTTGTAAATGTAGATCTTTGGTCATTCACATGCATCAATTTTATTTAAATTTCTTAAATTACATTGTATTTGAATGCAGTTAAAATTTTAGTGACTTGTTCTTACCCTTGTTGTCTAGTTGGGCCATCACAGCAACAGCAGCTTCCAGCACCTGAAAGCCAGGATCTGAGGCACACAGAAGGGCTGCTTAACTGACGACAACCAGGTCAGGTATTATTCTAGCTACTATGTGCTGAACTCTGGGTGATATTGATTGAATTGCATTTTACTGTGGAACTGAAAGAATTAAAGGACTGTAAGTTTTCTGACAGGCAGAGCTGACTGACTGTCTTTTCTGGAAGCTGGGAAAAGACCTTGCAGTCGTTCTTTTTAGTTTTGCTCAAAAGTTTTTTGCTGTTTTTTGAAGGGTTCTTTTGCCCCCCAATGGCCAAAATACAGTTTACAAGATGCTTTTTATGTTTGAAAACATAGAAGCTACAGGATAAGCACAGAAATTCTTTAGCATTACGGATGGGAGGACAGGAGGAGTCGGTTCCTAACCCTTTAAAATCGTGGACAAAGCTTTGCCCTTCAGAAACTCAGTACTGTGCTCTGTAGCTCCACTCACCGCTACATCTGGAAATGGTATTTTTCTCTTTGTAATCCATAAAGCACTGATCACTTAAAAGATTGCCAATAAAATGATGGCAGGTAAATAGAAAGTAAACACACAGTCCTGCATCTGAAATTATACAAATAATATGTTAAAAAATCGGATTTAACCTAATTTTTAGTTAGTTGTAAATGGAAACCACAGTGGCAGTGCTGCTCAGCGTTGACTGTTGGGTTTTCTCAGAAAAGCCAGATGATCTTTGGGCTACAAGTGATTCAAAGAAATTGCTCTGTGTAGTACTGTCCCCAAAAAATTCAATACCAATCTTTGCAAAGAGTTTAGCTTCTGTACCTGTGGGTGATAACAAATTTATAAGCATCTCACAGAAAAGCAGCTCGCACAGCTGCACAGAGGCATCCCAGCTTTTCCTGGCTCGGGCAGCACTTCCATTTCTGGTAATATTTGTTTTTAGAAAGCGTTTGCTTCAGTGCAGCGTGTGGTGGCTGGCTTTAGGATGCTCTTCTTGGTTGCAGGACCCTCCCAGCCGGGGAAGTCACCAATGGACTGTGGACACTTAGCTGAGAGCAGCGAGGAGGTCTCTGTCCCGGGCACAGAGCCCGATTCCCTGCTGCCTTCTGCTGCCAGCAGCAATTCCTGCCCCCCCTCAGCAGCTGGGCCGCGGGCTGGGGCACCTCCTGGCAGACCCGCCACCGCCAATGCCGCTCGGGAGCGCAGTCGGGTTCAAACCCTGCGCCATGCCTTCCTCGAGCTGCAGAAGACTCTCCCCTCTGTGCCGCCCGACACCAAGCTCTCCAAGCTGGATGTTCTCCTCCTGGCCACCACCTATATCGCACACCTCACTCGCAGCCTTCAGGATGAGGAAGAGTCACCGGGAGAAGGTTTGGGTACCCTCCGAGGGGATGGATACCTTCACCCTGTCAAGGTAGGAGAGCTGAGGAGCAGCTACCGCTTTCTCTTGGTGAAGTAAATTGGTGTGAAAGACACTTAGATGAAACTAAGGATTTCAAGCTTATTTACCTTGCTAGAGTTAATACATAAAAGGCTGCCTAGACTAACCGTTGCATCTAGGTGCTAGCAGCGTGGTGGGAATGTCCTTGAGCTGTGTCCCTCCAGCTTTAGCGACTTCACACAAAACCATCAAATACAGCGTAGGTCCAAACCTAGTGGGGCTTGGTGCCTTGGAAGTGAAGGAGGAGGGCAGGAGCAGAGGAGTACCAGCACCTCCTCAGTCCCTGCCTGGAAACCTTGGTGATCCCTCGCCAAAACCATCAGGACCGGCTGTAGGGGATGAGGGTGGGTGAGGTGATGCGCTGTCCCACAGCGGCGGGCCCAGCCACGGCTGGGCCGGCTTTGGTTCTCCTGCTGAGGCAGCCAAGGTACGAAAGCTGATGTTAGTTACTGGCCACGTGTTGATTCCTTCTCTGAAAGTGCTTTTCTGATGCATTTATTTCATGTAGTTGGTATAAGCTGTTACTGTTCTTCATCAGAAAAAATCACGGCATTGCAGAGGGGACGAGAAAGGGGACGTGGGGCTGGAAACTGTTTTCAAATGCACTGCTCACTGACTGACGGGACTCAAATACCACGGGGTATTTTCTTTGGCTCTGGTCTCGGGGAATGAGTTAGAGCACTGGGCTGGTTTTTTTTTTTTCTTTTTTTTTTCTCTTTTTTTTTTAAAGAGTCTGATGAATTCAGAATGATTTAATTAAGATTAATTTGTGGAGTAATCTCTAATTCCTGTAAAGTGACTAATTCACAGAGAGTTTCTTGTTCACAGTGTTGGTTGCTGTAAAAAGTGTAATGTGAGAGGCCGTTTAAATGATTAGCAGGCTCATTAAGAAAGCAAAACCTTTATAGCAATTAAAAGATGGCTATAATTCAAGAAAAAAATATTGTAATGTATTTCAAAATAAGTTTGAAGTAGCTTCTGTTAGTTCCCTTGGTCAGAGTGAAAGGACAGAAGTCTCTTACGGTACTTTTTATCAGCTGCCAACTATTACTGGCAGAAAAATACTTTAAAATAATTATTACAGCAGTTAAATGATCCAGAGGCACATTTCTCAGGCTACTGGAATACAGCAATACTGGATTCATTTAAGCAATTATTTTTTTATAGTCTTACTTATGTGCCATTTACCTGTATTTAGTTTTGAAATTCCATCAGTCTAACCAATCTTGCAAATGTTCCTGGTAGTAAATTAATTTTTTTAGTTGGCACTAGAACGGAAGGGTCACAGACAAATCATAGTACAGGCTTCAAAAAACCCTAAAGTGCAGGATATGAGACAACCAGTACAGATAAAGACTGTAACTACTCTCATATATCAAGGACAGTAAATACAAATGGCGAGGAAAGTAAAATATCTAAGTGCAGCTGTGTGTACACCAAAAAAAAAATACAGTTAATGACTTTAAACTGAGGTGTCTTATTGGTGACAAATTCATAACATCGCTCTTGAAATAAAAATACTGAGTGAGATCGTGCAGCCTTTCCAAGTGAGGATATGCTGCTGCTTTATGTCTTTAAATAGAAGAGCTGAGATCTAACCCCAGCGTTAAGCCCGTCGAGCTTTTAGAGCTCTCTTTGGTTACCCGCAGGAAAGGTGCCAGCCTGTTCCCAAAAGTGTCTTTAAGAAGTCGTACTCTTTTGGAACAACACACTGGCTGTGTTTCAGGTATTTTTGCATCCAATGTGTATGACCTGTTGTCTTTTCAAACATCCACCTCTCTAGTAATGAACTTGGCACGCCGAACTGGAGCTGGGTGGTTCCTCCCAAGAGAAGGGCCCCAGCTGCAGCCACCCGCCTGCAGCGCCCGTCACAGTCAGTAACTTGCTCGAGTCAAGAAATTCGAGCTCTAAGAATATTTAACACCAATCTAACTGATTATTCCAGTAATCAGCGAATGGAAAGATGAATTGTCTCATCTGAAATCGTTGGAGCTGACAAGGAACAAGAAGCTGTCAGTGCTAAAGACCACCAAGGAGCAGTTACATTAAATTCCCTTGGGTGCAGAGTCTGTGGCAGCGCCTGTGCGGCGGTCAGTGTTGCGGGGCCTGGCTGGCACGAGCGGGTGCGCACACGGGGCTGTGATCTCTGCAGGTGTTGCTGTAGCCCCATCGTATCCCTGGCACCAAAAAGAGGAATGTTTTGTTTTATTCTACCAACAGAGCAGCTACTGTACAAACTGCGGTACGGTGACCCCTCAGCATGGCCTGTTCCTGTCTGTTGGGTCCCAGGGGGGGCGTGTAGGAGCTGTGACTAACGATTAATTACCAGGGAAAACACCCAGGCTGAGGTTCCCTCACGCAGCTTCTAATGACGTTTTCCAACGAGTGACAAAACAGGAACTTGCTGGCGATAGCGATGAGTTTCCTGTTTTTCTCATATTGTGATTCCATCACCATTTAAAGCTTTGCTGAGAGCTGGGTTCAGACTACGAAGATCCCAGGTGTCTCAGCACTGTGCTTGTCTCTTCTCTTGCAGAAGTGGCCGATGCGTTCCAGGTTATACATTGGAGCTACAGGACAGTTTTTGACACACTCGGCACAAGGAGACGGCGCAAACCAAGGAGAAACATCAGCAGCTTCACAAATCTAATCTCCCTTCTCACTTCTAAAAACAAATGTTATTTATTACACCTTTATATGTATTTAAATTAAAAAATAGTATCTACAGACAAACTATAATTCCTGAAATACTGTTTGTAGAGGAGAAGGAATGGATTCTTAAATGTAATTAATACCTCATTAAGTTAATAAGATGTATGATTGGTTTCTGTTGTAGAGGACATTGCTGGGATCTGAACTGGGGGATGAGGAGAAGGTGACCGCCGCAGGTGCAGAGCTGGGGGCAGAATAGGTGACCCCCTCCCCTCTGGGAGGGCAGTGAATAGGTTTGCTGTGGGAGAGGGGGGAGAAGGAGCAGTACAGGCTTGGGGAGGAGCAAAGGGCAAACCTGAAAATAGCAGCTGAGTCCCCACGGGCACCTTCTACGCTGCATGGAGCCGACGGCAGAACCTGCCCTGACCGCTGGCGTCAGGTCAGGGCTCCATCCTTCGGATAATCTCACCCATATGTATTTCCTCCTGAAAGCGTGGGCGCATGTTCACCCCAAGCAAAAACGTGCTGAAACCTGTCCCGCACACTCACAGTGCTCCCTGCAACAGACACAAACCGCTCTGTACGTTAAGTGTTGCTCGTGTTGATCCATACTGTTGTGCTGCATGTTACGGGGTTTAAAATGTGCTTGTCACCCCAGCGCAACTGCCTGTCAGCTCGGGGTACCAGAGATCACTTATCTTGTCATTCAGCAGGTTCATGCATCGAAGCAAATGAGCCTTAAGAGATAGTTTGGCCATAGCACATTTTCCACTTAAACATTTTCTATATTTAGGCAAGAAAAGCTGAAACAAAATGCACAGATGCCACCTGATGTATGTGTTCTGTAAAACACTGTACTTCTCGTCATAGGTTGTTACTGCTGAGGTAAACATTTTATTAAATATTATTCAATGGACATTACGTATTTATTGAGTTGCAAAATCCATATCAGTTTGTCATCGTACAGGACTGGTAGTTTCTAACAGTAATATTCTGCATTTCTAGTAGACTTCAAACTTTAAGTTTTAAAATGACATTTAGGAAAAAGTAAGAAAAAAATACTAGCAAGAACAACCTTTATTAAAAAAAAAAGTATTGCTTTCAGTCTTGAGCCAAACTTGTGACATCTTTCAGAGGTGCTGAGCATGTCATTGCACACTGAGCATCCAGTATTGCAGCAAATCAGACCTCCAGTGTAAGAAAGTCATTTAGAAAGAGCTGGACGAACCAGCTAGGCTACGTGAGAGATGTAAAGCAAGGCTGAAATCTGGAGCTCTCTGCTACCCCTGCAGCATTCTGAGCTTTTAACAAGATTTTTCTTGTAAATAGTAAACATATTTTAAATACATTTACTACATATATTTAATTTAGGCACGTATTTCTTATTTACAATTGTAAGTGGTTTATTAAAAGATGACAGTTACATAGCCAGAGCACCATTCAACACACAAACTAATGCATTTTGAGAAACAATACGTACAAAAGGGCAGTTTTGCATAGACAAGAATCTACTCATAAATAAAGAGTCTGACTTTTCAAAGAACTGCACTTACTTTCCATAGTACTAAAAAGTGGGTTAGCACAAGCTCCTGCTATGGGGACAGCTATTTGTATCTGGAGTTATTAATGCGAAGGAGTTGTAAAAGTGGCAGTAGTTAAGTAAGATAAAAGAGTGACAGAGCAGTGAGGGTTTCCAGGAGTACTTGGCTGTAGAAGACAAAGGCCTAAGACACAGCTGACACCCGAGACTGATAAAATGCCGAGTAGCAACAGAGAAGCCCAGAGAATTCAGTCTAGTTTTGTATGTAACCGAGATCTACATGAATGGCGCCAGGTCAAGGAAAAAAGGACAGGTGGAATCTCAGGCAGAAGCCAATGTCCCACCCCGAGGTGCCGCTGTGTAGCAGCAGTCTGACCATACAGACAAAACACGTGAACCACGTATGAAACGGCGTGGGGAAAACACAAAACGTGGTGATGTTCTGCATCACTGGCAGGCTCTTGCCTAGCACAGAGGTGCTGGTTACTTCACAGGCTCTTAAATAATCCACCTGGAAGGGTCAGACTTCAAGAAAGGAAAACAAAAGACAATCCCCAGTTTTTAAAGGCTTCTTCCATCAAATGTAATTGAAAGATTCTGACTGCTTATTCACGAAATAAGCATGGAAAATGGATAGGAATAAGGTTTAGAAACATGGAAAGTTCTGAATGGATGGCTGGGAGTAAACCTCTTCTCAAGACTTCTACGACAATACAGGTTGAGTTTTCCCAGGCGGCAGCAGATGGCCAGTGACATGGAGCAGCCAACAGCGGAGCTGCTTTGTACCCACAACGCTTCTATAAATTGTGGCCGCATACGCTGCAACGCAAAGACCACCGCAGCATTTTGCAGACGTATTAAAGGCCAGTAAGAATATGCAGAACTGCAGCAGCAGTTTTTTACTTGAGAACTCCCTGCATCTATGCTGGGATTTATTTTTTCCTGAGAGAAGTTATTCTGCATCAGCTGCAAGTCTTTAAGCCGTCTCTTCCACAACCAAGACACCAGGTTAGGCAACCCACTTCCTTCGAGCAGTGCCAGAGCTGCCTTTTGGAAACTGACGCCAGGACGAGAACAGCTCTCCTCAACTTGTTTGCTTCAAACCTGAGGTTTGGATTGAACGTTACATTTCTTAGGAACTGAGTTCGTATCCTTGTAAATTGAAATACATCAATCTGGCGTTTGGCACGGCAGATACGCACGCGTTTAGGAGTGAATTCTACCACGTTCACACATTGCGATCCAAAGGCAACGTTTCTGTCGAGTAACTCGGGAGATCTTGGCAGACCCCAGTCACTGTCACCGCAGCCTTTCCTTCGGGGGGTGGGACTGGGGGGCTTCCCGGGGCCACCCGCACATCACCGGCCTGTGCAAAACCTGCTGCACTCGGGTTCTGCTGTCACCGCAACACGGTGC